ATCCATGGGGTGGGATATCTGAGGTGGGATCCATGGAGTCCATGGGGTGGGATATCTGAGGTGGGATCCATGGGATGTTATCCATGGGGTGGAATCCGTGGGGTGGATCCATGGGGTGGAATCCATGGGGTGGATCCGTGGGGTGGATCCGTGGGATCCGTGGGCGATCCGTGCCGGATGAGACCCCCCGGCCGTTCCCAGGCCAGGTGCAGAGCCGGGAGTGCATAGAGGAGGTCATCAAGTTCGCCTTCGAGGAGAAGCTGTTCCTCATGGCCGACGAGGTGGGCGCGGCCCGGGCGGCGTTCCCCGTTCCCGGGAAAAGCCCGGAATGGCGGGTGACGTCCCGGGATGTCCTCTCCGCCCACCCCAGGTGTACCAGGACAACGTCTACGCCGAGGGCTCGGCCTTCCACTCCTTCAAGAAGGTCCTGATGGAGATGGGGCCGCCCTACTCGGACTCGGTGGAGTTGGCCTCCTTCCACTCCATCTCCAAGGGATTCATGGGAGAGTGAGTCCTGGGAACGCCGGGAACGTCCCCGCCGGAGCGGCCGAGGTCCCCACGGGAGACGTGGGAGGGAGGTGCCACCACCCCGGGGGTCTGCTGGGATCATGGGGTCCACGGGGTCATGGACTGGAGATGTCACCACCACCCCGTGGATCTCCTGGATCGGGGTTGGAGGTGACATCGGATTCGGATGTTCAGAATCCATGGATGACGTGTCTTATCCATGGATTCCCGTCCCAGAGCCACATCCATGGATCCCAACCATAGATTCCCACCCACATCTCCAATCCATGGGCCCTTCTCCATAGGTTCCCATCCATAGGTTCCCATCCATAGATTCCCATCCATAGGTTCTTCTCCATAGATTCCCATCCACAGATCCCATCCATGGATCCCACCCATGGGTTCTTCTCCATAGGTTCCCATCCATGGATCCCATCCCAAACCCCCATCCATGGATCCCACCCATAGATTCCCACCCACATCTCCCATTCATGGGTTCTTCTCCATAGGTTCCCATCCATGGATCCTTATCCATAGGTTCCCATCCATGGGTTCTTCTCCACAGGTTCCCATCCATGGATTCCCATCCACAGATCCTTCTCCATAGGTTCCCATCCATGGATTCCATCCATGGGTCCTCCTCCATAGGTTCCCATCCATGGATCCTCCTCCATAGGTTCCCATTCATGGATTTCCATCCATGGGTCCTCCTCCATAGGTTCCAGTCCATGGATTCCCATCCCAAACCCCCATCCATGGATCCCATTGACGGATCCCTTTCATAGATTCCCAGCCACATCTCCAATCCATAGGTTCCCATCCATGGATTCCATTCATGGGTTCTTCTCCATAGGTTTCCATCCATGGGTCCTTCTCCATAGATTCCATCCATGGGTCCTCCTCCATAGGTTCCCACCCACATCTCCCATCCATGGATCCTTCTCCATAGGTTCCCATCCATGGATCCCATCCATGGATCCTTCTCCATAGGTTCCCATCCATGGATCCCATCCATGGATCCTTCTCCATAGGTTCCCATCCATGGATCCCATCCCAAATCCTCATCCTTGGCTCCCATCCCAAATCCTCATCCATGCATCCCACCGTCGGATCCCACCCCCACTCCCGTCCTTCTCCACCTTCCCACCAATCCCGTCCCCGCTCTCATCCCCCCATCGACCGCGCCGGTTCCGGCGCCGTTGCCGATCCCGGTGCCGTCGCCGATCCCGGCGCCGTCGCCGACTCCGGCGGTGCCGATCCCGGCAGGTGCGGGCTGCGGGGCGGCTACATGGAGGTGGTGAACCTGCACCCCGAGGTGAAGGCGCAGCTGACCAAGATGGTGTCGGTGCGGCTCTGCCCGCCCGTGCCGGGACAGCTGCTCCTGGACGCCGTCATGGACCCGCCCAAGCCCGGAGAGCCGTCCTACGAGCGCTTCCAGGCGGTACGGAATGCTGGGATTGGGATTGGGATTGGGATTGGGATCCATGGGATGGGATCCACGGGATGGGATCCATGGGATGGGATCCATGGGATGGGATCCATGGTCATGGACCCGCCCAAGCCCAGAGAGCCGTCCTACGAGCGCTTCCAGGCGGTACGGAATGCTGGGATCTGTGGGATTGGGATCCATGGGATGGGATCCATGGGATGGGATCCATGGGATGGG